ACTTTCCCTCATCACTAAAAAAAAAATATCCAATACTCTCAATTTAAAGCAAGAAAGGTATATTTTGGCTCACTGTTTGTAAAGGTTTTAGTCCATAGTCAGCTAGTTCCAAGGCAGGGCAGCATGGGGCAAGGCAGGGCAGAACAGCTCACACGGCAGACAGGAAGCAGACAGAATGCAGGGAGGAATGAGGGAGGGAAATTATCCTTCCAGGCCACAGCCCTAATGACCTGCCTCTTTCAAACAGACCCCACCTCCGAACAAGAAGTCAGCTAGAACCTGATTCACGTTCCTAAAGCCCCACTGATGAATGTATGAAGCTTGGGACATTTTAGATCTAAACCATAACTCTTTAATGAAAGTCCGCTCAGGGCCATTAATGAAAAATGAATGCATCCAGGGTGTGGCCTACATCCATAAGGAACAGAAAATAAGAGTAAAACTTCTGGGGACAGATCGCCTGGTCCACTTTCTGTGTCCTTCAGTGATCAACTGTGTAACTGCAGCCAAGTTATGTTCCTGGCACATCATAAGCACTCTAGACTGCCAGCAATTATTACTGCTTTTCTAGAAATCCCAAAACACACTAATAAGAGTTTTAATTAAACATAAGTATGGAAGCATTAACAACATATTACAGACAGTTTATAAAATAATTTGGGGGGGGGGAGGTTCCGGGAATTGAACCCAGAACCTTTAAGCTAAGCTAAAAGTTAAACTCCTGTTTTGTGTTTTTATTTTGAGATAAGAGTCTGGTCAAGTTGCTAAACTGCCCAGGCTGGACTTGAACTTGCAATCCTCCTGCTTCAGGTTCCCAGAATGCTAGGATTATAGGTCTGTGCCACCAGACTCAACAGGAATAATTTATTGAGTGATAATTTCTAATTCTGAACAATAAATGTTTTTAAAATGTGAAAAATTCTAATTTTGCTCACCACCTCTCTTAAACTTTCATTTTGAAAAGGCCATGAAAGTAACTTTTTAAAAATATTAAGTTTCCTTTAAAGAAATAAACAATCCATGTATATAAGCTAAGAAGTTCTACAACTGAGCATGCTTGAACAGAAAATCTGTAACAACAGGCAAGATCTTACAAGTTTCAGGTGTTCTACTGTTTAGAGAGGAATTTATTAACCCACAATACACTGAAAGAAAACAAAGGTTCTTTGGAAATATCATTTCCTTTTTTCGAGAAGACAAATAAAAACCATCTCTTTTATGAGGCTCCTCTTTTCTTTAGGTTTTTCTAAACTCTTTTCACAGTCCTTTTTGAGACTTTCTGGCTAGAACATGACCAGGCATTGCTGTCCCCTGGGTGGGGTAGAAGACGGATGTAACGTGAGTATTCTGTACTACAAAAAGTCAAACAGGCCGGTCACTGACGAGAGCAATTGCAAAAATGTCTGGAGAACAGGTACCTCTGAAGTCTAAAACCTGGTCAGAGCTGGTACTGCCTCTGAAAGACAGTAACAGGCAATCTGAAGACGCCTCAATTGATCATGACATACTCACTGGGCAGTTATTTATTCTGCAACATTAGTTTTCTTTTCTTTTTTTTTTTTTGTCTTTTTCACTTTTATCGGTACCAGGGATCGAACTCACAACTGCTTGCTTGCAAGGCAGGCGCTTATGCTGCTGAGCTAAATTCCCAGCCCCGCAACATTAGTTTTCAATTGCCATGAAAATCATTTATCTCATGGTAAGGGGCTTGAAAGGGGCCACAGTTATTAAACTGTTCAGCCATGTACAAAAAGTTTTAATTTTTTCAAAACTCATGATTCTACTAACAGCACTTCCTTAGATTAATAATGTGAGGCTAAAACCCTGGACTCAAGAGCCATAACTGTTTAGTCTGAATTTCACCCCCTGCTACTTCCCAGCTGTATAATCTCAGACAAATCACTTAACTTCTCAGTGGTAGTTTCCTAATCTACAAAATGGAAATAAGTATCACAAAAAATATTGTGAAGATTATATGAATTCCTAGGTATAATGTTTAAAACAGAGCCTGAAACAATATACCATGAACAGTGTGAGCTGCTTTCACTGGCATTATAACAACTACTAGAATTTTCATCATTATCTCATTGTATTCAATTGAGAGCATTAAAAAGCACATTCCAAAGGACCAAAAATACTTTGGGTTTGATTTGTTATACTCTCTATAATCTGGTTTCATAAAATGTCCATAATTTGACAAGAAAAAAGGAAGTGACCTAATTGGTTTTATTATCATTTTCTAGTGTTTCATTTTTGGAGTCCAGCAAACAACAGAACATTTAAAGAAGCTTTTTTTCTCTTCAAATTCTTGTTCTTTGGGTTCTTCTGAGTAATATATATGAATTTCATGCAAAAAGTCAAAAAATTGCAACCTTTGGCATAAATGAATTAAAGCTTCAAGAAACAGCCATTTAAACTCTGGGTCTTGCTTTCTACTTAGCTTTCTGAAAGGATTTATTGAAGACTCCTAATCAGCTGGAACATTCCTGCTGCTCACCTTTGAGCAGAGTAACTGCAGGCGTACAGTGGATGTCCATTTGGTTTCAGTTTTCAAACACACAAACGCTTCATTGTACAGCAAATGGCAAAGGCTCTGGGTGCTCTAAAAGGCATATTGTTTTTGCTCCTTCGTTTTCTGTTCTACTTTTAACTCAGTGCTGATTACATTTCCTCTCCTTCACAACAAACACCTCTCAATTTATTGTGGATATCCTAAAAAGTTGGTCCCTATTAACTTTTTCTAAAACATAATATAACATAGTCCATAGTCTTGGTCTGTTCAGGGTGCCATCACAAACACCAACAGGCTGGATGGTTCTAATAGAAAATTAGATTCTGATAGGTCTGGAGTTGAAGACCTGGATCAAGATCAAGGTGGGGGCTGAGCTGGTTCCTAGTAAAGGCTTTCTTTTGGGTTTGAAGATGGATACTTCTTGCCGTATCTCAGGTGTTGGACAGACAGGCCTCACATGTAATCTTCTTATAAGGACACAAATGCTACCCATTTAGGTCCCATCTTCATTTATAACCTTGGTCATCCCTTCAAAAACTATAGCTCCAAAACAGTCACACTGAAAGTCAGGGCTCCCACATTCAAATTTGGCCATATAAACAGTTCATAAAGATCTTCTAACGGCTCAAATATAAAACTCAAATTCAAATCCATAATGTTTCTACTTACATTAAATTTTCTTCCATTCACATATGGAAAACTACCAGGTAAAATATAATTTAGTTTTTAACTCTGGCTGAAAAATTTTATATGCATAGCTTAGTTTTCAAGTTCAATGACTCAAGACAATAAAAGCTCAAAACTTTACCTCTCTCTTCATTAGATTACACAGATCTACTTTTCTCTGTTTAAAATCTGATGCTTGTCTTTACTATGTAGAACACAGTAAAAGAACTTTTAAAATGCTTCACAGTTTGATGGTACTACATAAAAGAATTTTTAAATACACCTTGGGTATTGATCTAATTTCTTAAAAATGTGTACTCTTTGGTTTTCTAGGATATCACATGGTTCCGAGAATCATACCAGTGGCAGCCACTACTCAGAAAATTCAGAAAGTTTTAAATTGTCCTTAAAAAGGTAACACTAAAAAGTAGAGAGGATTCCCAAGCTGACAACTGACAGAGGTAGGGATGATTCCCAAGGAGGGTAAATGACTCATCTGCTCTAGCAGCTCACTGAGTGCTACTAGAAAGAACACAGGGCTCCTAGCAACAGACCAGGCCACAGTCTACATGCCATCAAGCTAGAGCACTTCTGTCATGCAAGCAGGGTGGGAGCCTCCCATTCCCTGGAAAATACTGCGTGCCCTGTCTGGCAGCAACAGTGAGGACCAGAGCTTTGATCTCACTGATGCCCTGACTCTCAGCATCTAAAAGGATGCCTGCTTCTCCCTTTCTGTTTTTCTCCCAAATGATAAACCCTTCAAGCTACTGCATTCCTCTCTCCCACAAATCTCCTCCAGGGACAGAAATAGAAATGCACTACAAATCCCTTTTCTTCTACTCATATCTTGTCCTGGGTCTGCTCCCTTGAACCACAAGCCATGAAATCTAAAACAACACTAGGTTCTCCCAGGAGTGGCCTCATGATAAGACTGAAGAGTAAAACCCGCATAATACTAAATTATAGTGAGGTAAAAAGATGCCCTGGAATTTTGGTTGATTTTATTAGTTTCTCTACAGCATTCCCACATGTGTAGGCATGTACTTTTAGAGGCACATTTTGTAGATCATTCAAATAGTAGTTACCACTTTTATAAGGGATCTTACTTCTAGATCTATCTGACATGCCTGTCATTTGCTCAAAGCTATACCTGCACAGGTAAGGAATGTTCCCTACAGAGTGCTCTCAGTTGTCTGGAATGGCTAGGAGACTTTACTGTTTTCTAGTCTCACAAAACAAGGATGACTTTTTCATTTCCTGTTATGATTCATAACAAAGAAATCTGTACATCTGCCAAATTTAGCAAGATACTTTCTAGCTGCTAGTGACGCTCTCAGGTTTCACCATCCTAACACAGCTTTGAAACACAAACCAACCAAAAAGTCCATTTTAGAAAAATTTAACTTTTTAATTACCTTCACATCACCGTAAATATACAGCTTTCAGGAAAATTCAAGCAAAAAATCTTTTCACATATGGTGAAGGCAGATTATGAATCTCCTAAATAACAGTATAACACTGAACTATTGTTAAGCCTTTAAGCATCTACTAAAAAAATGAAATAATCTATATTTGTAACAGTAATATGTGTGCAACCTTCTAGAATAGCTTATAACCACACACGTAAATCTCTTTACAAAGATAAGGGCTATATTGTCTTCTTTTTCTGTTTTCCCTGCAACAGGACATTGGACCACAAAATACTAAATGTTTTGATGACACAATGCATTAGTCTTATAATCAAAACTCTTTCTGCTAACAAGCTTAATTTTATAAATAATTCATAAGCTGCCAAGAGCTTGATGAACTCTTTTTTTCTTACCAGAGCTGGACACACGCCTGATCCTCTGAGGCGATAAGGCTCGATCAGAACTGAGGTTTCTAGTGTCACTGTTCCGCCTCAGACAGGAAACAATTGGCCCCACTTTGGCTTTTGGACATGATGTTTTCCGCAAACTGCAGGAGTCGGGCTTGGATGTATTCCTACCTGAGGGGGTGGTAGTTTTGGAAGCAGAATCCTATGAAGAAAACATATTTTGAGTCCAGATAATACTTTGCTCACACTATTTTCTTTGTGGTATTATCTACATGAAAGAAACAACTTCAAAGTGGAAATGGCAGATAAATATTTTTCATTTTTTATTAGAAGCTGTTATGGTTTGTGTCTGAATGTCCCCCCAAAGCCTCATGCCATCTTAGACTTTTTTGGAAGTGAGTGAATCTAGTTTGTGATCGAATCAAAGGCTAATGCTGGAATTGAAGGTGTGAGTGCTACACCCTCCCTAGAGTAGGCAGCCCGGTATACAACATCAGGGATAAAAAGAGGTTTCTCTCTCCTCCTCCTCCTCCTGTCTTGCTGCTTTTGGTATCTTCCACTACCATGAACAGTTGCCACCTACCTTAGAACCAGCTGATTAAGAACTGAAACCTCTACAAACTGCGAGCCAGACAAACCCTTCCCCTTTTGAATGCCCAATATTTTGACTCAGCGACAAGGTAAGTGACACAGAAGCAATTGAAACTCTTCACAGCTGGTTATTCAGTTCATCATGTTCTGCCTTTGTGTACATTAGTGACACTGTTTTCAAGGTTGTTTGTGACATAAATTGATTCAAGGCACAGTGTTCAGTCCTGTCCTTGGGGAAGCTCTGACATCTAGTGCCCAGCAGTGCTCTTTCCTGGCTTCCCTCCTAGCATCTACTTACTGCTTCTGGGTTCTGTTCTTCTGTATCTTTAAGTACTTGTTTTACTAGGGCCCACACTTAGGGTTCTGTTCTTTCCTCACCGTGTACTCTTCCTACATGATCTTGATTGCTGTTTCAGCTGCCACCTACTTACTGCTGCATCCAAAATCCACATCCAACCAACACTGTCACTTCCCCTCTATGTGACTTGTGTGTGTACTTCTCCACTCAGTTCCTTCAGGTACCTCCTTCTTACCAACGACATTGACAGAGCTTTTACACGTGTAAAATACAATTCTAAACTCTAATACAGTTACTGACTCATAATAATCCTACGCTATTGATGTCAAGTGTGGGGCATGTGATTATAATCCCAGCTCTCCAGAAGGCTGAGACAGGAGGCTTGCAAGTTCGAACACAAAGTAGCTAACTTGGTGACTTAGCAAGGCTCTGTTTCAAAATGAAAATAAAGGATTTAGGATGTAGTTCAGTGGAAAAGCTGTGGGTTCAATCCCTAGTACCTCCCCCAATAGTATGAGGTTGATAATTTATCATACTACCAATTTCTACAATTAAACTTATTTTATCTATTCATCTCAGCTTACTTTTTCTCATATCCACCTCAATACACCCAGGCATGTACCTTAAACAATGAAAGACATTTCTACTCGCTTCCTCTCTTACCTCTTTTTTTTTTTGTTTTGTTTTGTCTTTTTCCTTTTTATCGGTACCAGGGATCGAACTCACGACTGCCTACTTGCAAGGCAGGCGCTTATGCCGCTTAGCTAAATCCCCAGCTCCTCTCTCTTACCTCTTATAGGTCTCTTTTCAATCTGACTTAGTATAAGCCAGCATCACTTCTCAGAAGGATTACTGAAATACCAGCTTCAGCATCGCTCTAGTCTCACCAGCTTTACAGTAGTTTTCTATTCCCCTGTGATCACAGCCTCTCTAACATTCAAACAGGGTCAGACAGCTTTCCTCTGCCATCCTGATAAAATCACTCTTTGTAAGTCACATCGAGTCCTTTTGGATGTGGCAGCCTCTACCATCCTCCTCAGCTTATTTCTTACTGCTTGTGGCTCTGCAGCCTCAACTCCCATGATAGTGACCACCTGGAGCCCTCCAAATCAGAGTACAGTATCTTTTCATATCTCTCCATCCATCCATTCATCCACCCATCCACGTATGCATGTATGTGTATGGATCTGTGTGTGTGTTTGTGTGTGTGTGTATTTTTCTCTATCTAGAATATATGTCCTGTAAATTCTGGAGAGTGACTGTCTCTCTGGCCCAGGCGGTTTTCCTCAATCATTCCTTGCATTGCCATCTCTCTCTCTCCCCTCTCCTGCAACACACAATCCCTTTCTCTTCTTAGAGAGGCAGGAGGCTGTGTTACATCTTCTCTCCCCTGCACCCAGCTCCCTCCCTGGCCCACAGCACAGGCACCTGAGGACAGTCTGCACAGGGCTGAAAATACATACCAGTCCCTGCTGCCAAAAATAGAGCTAAGGACAAGTGCACAGCCTCGTCAAACAATTCTAAAACTCAGAAAACTAGTTTCTTTTAAAGCTCTTTGCAAAAATCTATGCATATTTAAAGAAAATTTTTATTCTTTAAATGAGTTTGTCTAAGAGTTTAACAGGTACCATAGGAAACATACTGCTTTTACACTAAACACACACGAAATGGAATTTGTTTTGTACAAAAATGAATATATGAGGGCTGCAAGAGACCTTAGACATTCAACAGTCCAATCTTTTCACTTCTGGGTATGGAAAAAATCACTTGCTCAAAGTCCCATAAGCTGATCAGGGGTAAAATTAAGAATATTTCTGCTCATAGGAGAGGGCTCCATTTCCCAGTGCTACCTCCTCAATGGCAAGACACTGAGTTATTTTTATGTTGATATGTTTACCAGCACTCTCTAGCCACTTCTTAAATGTAGACCAATACATTTGAAAGTTTATAAACTCCCTATTTTCAGAAAAATTAAATATAACCTGGTTATGTCAGGTTATTAATGTCAAATTATTAATTACATTAAAATATTAATTTATTCTTGTAACATATAAGTAAAAAAGAAAATTGACTCTCAATATAAAATACTGAATTGAGGATTTTTTTTTCAATATACAGATTTGCTACATTGTGACCCTTTAAGATTCTGGTACATATTGACTGACAAGACAGATACCTGAAAGCAAATTTGCTCATGTAATTCTGAAATATTATTGGCTATTAATAGATAATTAACTGTAAGACCTCTTAGTTTTCTCCACCACCCTCTGAAGCATGCAAAAAGTTTCACTTACCAGAAACAGAGGAGCATATTCAAAGGTCTCATTCATAACTTCCTTTTTCAGCTCTTGTTTTTCCACAGGTATCTCGTTTTCTTTTTCATCCTTTTCGGGGCAGGTCTTATCAATGTGGAGAGCATACGTCATTCCCAAACATTCTGTACTTTCCATTTTAACAGGGAGGACGCCTTTGATCTTCTGAAAAACTGCGGCTACAGACTCAGACTCACATACTGAATGAGAAGAACTTGTTTTGTCAACATCTTCCTGGTTAGATTTCATGGCAGATGTTGTTCTTGGAACCCTGTGTGAAGCATTTTTAGAATGAGTTGTAACATGCATAGCCTGGCCAGTGATGAGTTTATTAAACTGCTGCTTATGTGTCTTGTTAATTAAGATTTCTGCTTTTCTGTCTGTATTCAAATCAGATCTTGGTGTTTTGCTCAAAACTGTCAGCTGCCTTGAGGAAGACACTGCTGAGGGAGATGAGGTGACACTGGTCAACTGAGGCCTGGGTGTGGCCTTAGATAAAGCAGACTCTTTGGGCTGCAACACGGGTCTAGACATAACTTTAGCTTTGACATTCTTGAAGTTTGGTCTTGGGTAACTTATAATTTCAGTTTTTCTAAATTTGCTGCCTATAGGGGTATTTGTTTTAGTTGCTGACTTTCCTAGACTAGGCTTAGCTGAGCTCATAGGTGTCCCCTTCAAGTTAAGCACATTTTTAGGCTCTTGATTACTCTTCTCCACTTTATTACAGCTGTCTGTTAATTTGATCGGTGAAAAAGTAAAGCTTACATCTCTGGGTTCTATGATGGGTGTTGACATGCAAGCTGTGTTACTTGTGTTAATAACCACTTCATTTGTATCCCAAGACATTTCAAATAGTGAAACTGTCTTTTGTCCTGGTGAGCAACTTTGTGTCAGTTCTACAGTATTGTTTTGGGTTTGCAAATCCTCATTAGAAGCAATTTTTGGATCTTCAGTCACAGGGACTTTATGCTCTGAGTCCAGCACTTTGGCTTTATTTTTTTCAAAAGCTGGCATCAGTAAAGGGCATTCATCATCAATAAGACAATTAGATACTGTCTTTCTTAGATTTTGGCCCATTTCCTTTTGACCATATGAGCTTTGTGAATGTGTTTCACTATTTGGTTCATCTTTAGATAAACAATAGAGCTCTTGTAATACAAATCCTTTGGGGACTTCAATGCCTTCAGAAACTGGTGTTAGGGCTTGTATCTCTTTTTCTCCAACTAGCCTTTGCTGTGACCCATCTGTGTACTCACTGGTGACCTTTCCTGAAGAATATTGACATTGATTTCCAACATTTGGAACATCAGTGTGCATCACATCATCAGAAAATGCTGTGTACGTTGTGTTGTGGGCCTCTGGTGCTGTGGCTTGAGGGTTTTCCAAGTTTTCTTTATTATAGCTAATTTCTCTCACATGCATATTGTCAGAATCGGATGATATCCAAGTAGAACAGGATAAAGGAGGAGTACTTCCACTTCTCACACCCACTGGCTGGAAATCGCCATGGGCATGCAAAGACTGACTGTTTTCGAACACATGATGTGTTATAAAGGTACAGTTAACTTTGTCTGCTTTCCCGTTAAACGTCTGGTTTAAGTCCAAGGTAGTGGGATAGTCTCTATAGTCCAAATCAGCATTAGGCTTCCACACAAAAGGCAGAGATGGTTCAACATTCTGGTCCTGGGCAGCTTCCAGGGAAGGACAATTGCTATGCAGATACTCAGGCTCCTCTGTATTTACAAGTGCAGAAGACTGACCTGTAGGGTCTTTATGCATCTCTAACATCCGCTGACTAATGAAATCACATGAAGACTTTCGGTGCTTGAGTACTTCACACTGAGAATTTAAAGAAATACTTTCATCACTGTCTACAGCAGGGTCCATTTCATAATCGATGACCATATCATCTGTGTTGGCAGAACTCCAACTCACATGACTAGCTGAGCTGTGTGCAGATGGTGATGTTTGGTTGTATGTGTTTCCATTTTTATCACTGATAAATAAGGAATGTGATACATCTGCTGCCTTTTCATCCAAATTATCATCATTCATCCTGAATATTAACCTTAAACCTCTGCCATTTTATTTCATTTTCAGTTTCAAATGAGAGGAAAGGAAAAACTGTCCATCTCCTAACTTTTGCAGCACAGTTGAATGCTTTTTAGTCTAAAATGGTTTGAAGGTGAAGTGATTTGTTGTCTCCTGGAAGAAATAAAAGATTTAACTCAGTACATTATTAGAAAAAGTAATAGGTCATGCTTGACTAATTCCAACCACTTTCTGTACATATTTAGAACCCACAACAGTTAAAAGGTAGGTAATTAACACACTGTCGATCACCATCCCCTTTCAAAGATACATTTTAAGGGACTGAGACAGAATGGAAGATGGAGACAGAAGTTCCCGTGACTGACTTTATAACTGACGCCTCCTCCTTACTGCCAGGGACTTTATCTAAAAAGAGAAGCAGAAGCTAAACCTGGCAATAAGTCTTCCTTCTGACTGGTAGACAAAGAGATCATTCATCATAATTTGCCCAAGATAGGCCCAACTTAGGTTTGTTTTTTCCTCATGATTCATAATAGTATCCTTTTCATTCCCAAGAAGGCCCTTACTACATCCCAGAAAAGTGATTATGCAGGCCCACCAAATGAGCTAAAGATCGGGGATACTTAGGGAATTAGCATTTCTCTTTCCTATATTCATTCCTATCTTAAACATATGCCATGTCTAAATTAAAGGGGGAAAAGCTGATACAAGTTGGGAGCTTCTCAAAATGTTAAACAGAGAAAGAGGTACCATATGCTATATACTGAATTGTGTCTGCTCAAGATCCGTACATTAAAACCCAGCCCTGCTAAATGTTAAATATTGGTAAAAGGCCCCCCTAGAAGGTGATTATGGTTAATGAGATCATGAAGGTAGAGCCCTTATCCAATAGAACTGGTGTGCTTATGATAAGGGACAGCAGAACTCCCTTTCCTCAATTCTCCTGTTGGACACAGCAAGAAGGCTAATGGGGTAAAGAAAGGCTACACAGGTCTTACATAGTACATGGTTGCAATCCCAGAACTACAGGGCTGAGGCATGCACGCACACACTCAGAAATTATGAATCATAAAATAAGGGCTATGTGATTTATAGTGATGAAAGTATAAATTAGCCAAGTCTTCACCAGGTGACTTCAGTTAAAAGGAACCACTGAAATCAATGGTTTATTGGTGAGGATTCTTTGTAAATGCTTTAATCCTTCAGTATAAAATGAATTCAAGCTAAATGTCTAAATCCAAAGCACATTTACTCATGAGGTATAATTTAATTCATGAGGTATAATCTCAAATGCAGTAAATGTTATACCTTTATGCTTCCATGAAAAGCTAAAATTCATTTAAGAGGTTCTGATATAAGCAAATCTGAATAAAAATCACAACAAACATAAGCATTTAGCATAATCATCACAGGTCTATTAAATATAGTTAATGGAATTTTTATTATCTAAGCTTTCTCTTCCAAGGTACATAAAGGACATTCTTTTAAAAATCTGACAAAAAATGAACAAAATATATGATTCGTATGTCAAATAATTCCAAGTTATTAAAAATATATATGCAGTGGTATCTCCGTTCATGAATGCTTTTGTTTGAAAACAATTTGGTTTGCAAACAGAAGCACTGGAAAAACTGTTTTTGTTTGCAAACTCTGCATTGGGTGACAAACATGACAGTGGCCATCTTCCCATGCAAAAAATGTGATTAGCTTTTTCAAAATCATCAAATAAATTAAGTTTTGAACCAAGGTACCACTGTATAATAGGACAAATCACACCACCTGTTTCATGCTATTCAGTATTTAAGTTGTTTCTGGTTTTCCTATAAATAACTCTGAGTTGTTTCCAATAATTATCTCTAAAAACGATCTTTGCAATTATTTCTAAAAAAGATCGCTTCCTTTGGAAAAAAATCTTCCAAAAAATATTTTAAACCATTCTTGAGTCCAAGGACATAACTTTTTAAAGCCTTTGAAATAAATTATCAAACTATAAAGTAGAAAAAAATTTGGATTCTTTATAATATACATTAATACATGTATATAATATATATGTAACCTAAGTTTTGCTTTTAAAGCTTATACATTTTGTTGAGCATTTTGCAATGTCAATGAAGTATAAAAATATTTCTAAAGGTTGTAAAGTTCCACTAAAGTTAAAGCTAAATGTTTTGGGCTTGTAAATCCCTGGTTTATAAAGAGTAATAGGAAAGTAAACCTATTAACCATGCAACTTTCATATGACTTTTTAGTATACACTTAGTTTATGATTTTTTGAAATAAATTCCAATTTGGTGAGCAAAGCTATTTTAAAAATATTTAAGGAGTTTTCATATGACATAAGGTTACTGAGATATTTTCTATCTTTTAGGTAAGAGTATTGATTTAGGGGTCCAGAGATGTGGATACTAAAATGACTTTTCAGTTCAGTTATTGATTCCAAGATTAATTAGAAGACTAACTTCACCAGTTAGTAAAGAAACTAATGACTGCAAATTCCTGTTAGCAAAAATAAATCTACATTACAGAAGCAGTTTTCTTCCTGTAACAATTTTTTTAAAATGGCCATTTTGATTTAGGAATGACAAGTTGATTCCTTCCTTATTTAAAGAATACTGCCAAACATGGTGGTGACACACTTCTATAATCTCAGCATTCAGGAGGCTGAGGCAGGAGGATCACAGCAAGTTCGAGGCCAGGGAGTTCGAAGTCAGTCTGAACTACCTAACAAAACCCTGTCTCCAAAAACAAAACAGAGAGAGAGAAAGAGAGAGAGAGAGCACAAAAGCTAGCGAGTGAGAGCCTAAGCTTTCCATCAAGCTAGGCACGCGTTCTTTAATGTGGTCTCACCCCACTCATTAAGCCATCTTATAGTATATTAACTTACATCTTAATTAATATTGTTTCAACAAATTTTGCCTCATTTTTAAAAAAATTTTATTTAAGGAGAAAAAAACAGAAAAAGGGTACAAGTTATACAGAATTTCAGAAAAAATAAACAGTAGGAAATCACCAGTTAATAGATTACATATTGTCATCTTAGAAATAGTTGTTCAAGTTACAAAATTAAAGCATACAAAGTGGACATTCAAACAGTGAGACTGCAAACAATTCTGTTCAGTGGTCCAACAAAACTCAGTAGTATGGTTATCTACCTTATACACTTAAATGTACATGCAGTTATATCCTTTAGAGCACTTTCTTTTCCTCTCTTCTATACAATGACAATTACACATTTTGGGTTTTATTACTCCCACAGTTCTTATTACTTTTTTTTGAAGAGAATAAAACCAAATGTGACATAACAAAACAGAGTCAGTCAAATCAAAAGGATGGACATAATACATACTGTAAAAACAAAATACAAGGTGATCAACACTGGTTACCATAATGCCTCTTGCTATCTTAAAAAGAAATGCCTATATCATCAGTTATAATAAAAAGCCTCCAAGTCACTATCTTGGAAACATTTTTATCAAAGTAAAAGCAAAGACTTAGAGACAAAGAAAAGTTGGGAACAGATCATTCTCCCACAAATCTCTCAAATTTTTCAGAAACACTACTCACCAGAAGAAAGCACGACAATCAAGTTTTCCTTTTAAGAGAACCACCCAAGAAAAGTGATCTTCGAGAACACTGCGGACAAGAGGGAACAAATCTCCTACATATTAACATTTGGGAATATAATAGGGCAATTTCTCTTTAAATAAAAACCTTAAAATTGCTTAAGTATGTACTAAATGAAATGTTTGGCCAAGGATGTAGCTCAGCATCACAAGTGCCTGCCTTGCAAGCGCACGGTTGTGAGTTCGATTCCTGGTACAAAAAAAAAAAAAAAAAAAGAAAAGAAATGTTCAAAACCTACTAGTATTATCAGTGAGCTGTAATTTTGATGCCTTTGGTAAAATACAGGCAATTTTAATATAGATTAATTCTAAATCTTAGCTTTAAGAGTTATTATTTTCCAAAGACAAAATTTTATCACTTCTCATAGTTAACAGATATAAAAGTTGAATCATTTTCACGTTAATTAAAATAATTACCATAATTAAATTCATTATCACTGCCATTTTAATTGTAGAAGAAATTTTGTAGATCCAGTTCAAAGTTTTTCATTTTATATGTGAGGAAACAATGTCAAACAAATTACAAGATGGAGCAAATCAGTGGCTAGTATATTATGTCAGCTCATACATGCCTGAACTAAAAATTCAGCAAATGTGTATGTATCAGTCAGTTGATGTCCCCTACATCTTATTACCCATCATGTGTAGCCCTATAATTTGAAGTCAATTTGGTTAAATATGCTATACCACATAATCATTAAATGCAAAATTTGTTTCTAAAAAATCCAACATAAAAACTAAATTTCTTACTTTCTGGTCACATAGAACTCGATTTTATTCTTATTTGTGTCAATGGATGGGTACCATCTTTTAAGATATTTATATATAAATACGATTATAATTTACAGCTTCTAAATGATAAAATCACATTAGTTTTCTCAAGTGCTTTTAAGAACTCACAAACTATGATGGTAGCTCAGTTCTCCAGTCCTGGAAACCTGAAGTATTACCTGATCTTCAACTTGCTTTATATTAAAAAAGACAATGTTAGTATAATATCTAAGTTACAAATTTTATTCTAAATTCAGAACTAAAGTAACCGAACAAAGAAGTATGTATTTTTAAAAAATACATTCCCAAGTTCCTGTTTTATGTTAAAATCATTCAAGACAGTTATCCTCTAAACCTCCTTGTTTTTCACAGCGAAGGCTTCAATTCTTCAATTAGGTCCTGGGGCCTACCTTTCCACAAGCTCAGTGATATCCTTGGGCACTAAACTTAGTCAGGTGCCTTATACCCAGGAAGCAAGGATAAGGATAGCTAGTACTCAGTTTCTTAAAAGCATAATGATTTCCCGTAATGAAGCCATCTGAACAGGAGGAAGCCCGAGATGGTTTAATGGATTGCAAAACGGAGGGCTATGGAAGTTAACAACAGAGTTACACATTAAATAATTTAGAAAAGCAATACAAATTTGAAACCACATGCTTTTTTCTTCTAAAACTTTGTGCTTCTCTGACTTTAATATGCATGCAAATCAACTGAGCTTCTTACTAACAAAAAAGCAGATTAATGAATTGTCATTCCACACTTGCTATCCACCCCCTCACGATACTGAAGCTTGTAGTCTACGCACCACCCAGGAATAGAAAGTAGTAAGCCTTTCAGAAAGTAACTAACCAGCTCACTAACATTGGTGGCTGTCAGTGTGACCCTACAGCCTTGCTCTAACTAGGAATAAGCTCTCCTAACACTTGAACCCTTAATTTATGATTTGAACCTTCCTCTCAGACAGCTGGTAACTGGAAGTATGAATACTCACAGACAAAACTGCTATCTTCTTCCGTTTATTCCTTGCATAAGTAGGAGGCTAAATTAACCTAATAGTCCTGTCATTTTTCTGTTCATTTACTAACTCCTCCCATAGGCGACTTACTGGTTCTTATACATTTAGGCAGCATTAGCTGCACCACTCAGAAAGGCCCAGCACTGTCCTGCTTTCCCTGGAAATAAATTGCCCCTTAGACCCAGAACCAGGAGGAGGTGAAGCAGCCATTTACCTGAGGCGCTGAATTTAAGACGTATCAGTGACATGTGCAAGGAGAGATCATGGCCAGGCAGCCAGAGACTGGGGCCAGGATCACTCTTTATAGCCACCCACACTTGGGGGAGCTAACTAGGGGGCCTTGAGAACTAAATCTCTTCTGAGGGTGATGCACAGGGACCCCATCAGCCCCACATACACACAAGATTACACTTCGCCATCACTAGATGTTGGGAACCTTGCTTCCAGCTTATGAACTAACTCTTAGAGAACACTCACACCGCAGAGAGAGAAAGCAGGCACAAATAACAACAAAGAGTAACTACTCCTAAAAAATGTTCTGGCCAGACCCTGGCCAGACTACTGCAGACCCTGGAAAGAAAGCACACGCCCAAAACACAGGAAGTATTTTTGGACTCTTTTCTTTTTCTTCATTAGAACTTTGCTTTGCTTTGCTTCCCCTTTTGTTTTGGGGTGTGTGTGTGTCTGTGTGTGTGTGTGTGTGTGTCTGTGTGTGTGTGTGTGTGTGTGTGTGTGTGTGTGCACATGTACACAGACTTTTTTCCTATTTCTTTGTTTTATTTTCTTTTTTCTTTCTTGTTCTTTTCTGTTATATTGAGCTAATCCTATTAGTTTTATTTTACTACTTAATAGGACCCTTTTTAAGCGCAATAAGACATACAAGCTTAAATATCACGTGCTCTGTCTTAGAAACCAAAAGTAAAAATAAAGAGTAAAATGAAACATCGCCAACAGGAAGCAGGCGAAGACAGATCTTTCTTAAAGGGGGAAGAGGTCACAGGTGAAGGTGGGGAGAGAAAAGAGGAGAGAAAGGAAATGGGGTCATTTTGTACCGACTCAACACAGAGAATGTAAACATCATGTACTGAAAATGTGTGTAAAAATAATAAACAAATTAAGAGACTGGTGGATGCAGAGGTAGAGAAGGGAGAAGTGGACAAAAAAGAATTAAGATGCATTATGTACATGTACCAACTTTCAATACACAAAATAAAGAAACTCTCAGAGAAGAGGAAACAGGGAGATACATCTTTAAGGGGATATAAAAAGAATGAGGATGTACCTGGACCAACTCCTTGTGACTGTAATCACTGAGTCCTGCAAACATGGACTGCTACTAATCAAAATGTAAAAAGACACACAGCTGATGAGAAAATTCAGGAGAACCACCTGGCATCCTTGGCTGGCTCCTGTCACTCGGTAACAAGCTGGGTACCTCCAGGAGCAGCAGTGCGAGGACCTGCACCTGCAAGTTGCCCTGCACAGCGCCCTGGTGTCCCACACTCAGTTACATCCTTCACAGAGTCTCTAACACAGACAGCTTAGTAGTTTGCATACCAGTTATCCTGCATTACTGTATTTTTCCATCAGTCCCAAACTCAAACCAAAAAGACGACTGCTACCCACTGGACCCAGAGATCACAGTGAGTATCTCATAGGGGTTTTTCCCTTTAACTTCTAGCTTAAATCTATGTGTTCTGTAAAGTTTGCCTCTTATTTAAAGAAAATGTGCATAAAATTTTTCATCTTGACCATATTATTTTATTTGCTTACTTATTTTGATTTTTTTGAGACAGTGTCTCACTGTGTAGTTCATGCTGGCCTTGAATTCACTGGGATCCTCCTGCCTCAACATCCCAAGTGCTGGGATTATAGGCATGCACCACCATGCTTTGCACCATTTTAACAATGTTTAGTATCCGTGGCATTGAGCACACTCACATTGTGCAAGCATTAGCATGTCCAGAACTTTTCATGTTTCTGAACTAAAATTCTGTGTCCATGAAGGTTTAGTCATGTCGTATCATGTCAAAATTATCTTTTTAGGGCTGAATAATATTCCATCACATAATAGCCTCTTTAATTAATGGTGCTGGAAAACTTGGCTTTCCATATGCTGAAAACTAAAACTAGACCCATGCCTATCAGCATGCACTAAAGTCAAAATGGATCAATGATCTAAATATTAAAACAGAAACACTAAATCTGCTGGAAGACAAAGTAGGTAGAAATCTTGAAGACAGGGGCAGGCAGAGAATTCATGAACAAAAATCAAACTGCATGGGAAATACTTCCCAGAATCAACAACTGAAATTTCATCTTATTAGAATGTTTTTGCATGTCAAAAGAAATCTCCAACAGAGTGAAAAGAAAACCCATGAACTGGAAAAAAAATCTTAGTCTACTATCCCTGACTTTTATCTAGAACATATAAAGAATTAAAAATGTAAGGTCCCTGAAAATCAAAGACCAAATCCAAAAATGGGCATCTGAGATGAATATGCACTTCTCAGCTAAAAAAATACAAATGGCAAATAAATACATGAAAAAATGTTGAGCATCATTGGTCATTAAAGAAATGTAAATTAAAACAGCACTGAGATTCCATCTCATTCCAGAAAGAATGGCCAAGATCAAGAAAATCACCAATAACAAACGCTGAAGAGGATATGGGGAAAAAAGGAACTCTTTTGCACTGTTGGTGGAATGCAAACTAGTGCAACCACTGTGGAAGTCAATCTGGAGGTTCTTCAGAAAGCTGGGATTAGAAGTGCCATTTGGCCCTGCTATTTCACCTCTGATCACATTTCCAGAAGTGAAAACATACCACATTGATATATGTGCACCCATGTTTATAGCAGCACAATTTGTAAAAGCCAAATTTTGGAAGCAACCTCAATGCCCATCAACTGAGGCATGGATAAAAAAGATGTGGTACTTTTATCCAATGGAGTACTACTCAGCTACAAAGAAGGATCACATTGAGGCTTTTATAGATAAATGGACATGACTTGAGATCATATTCATAAGTGAAATAAATCAAAATCACATATTGTCTCCATAGTGTAAGAAACTGAAACAGTAAATAAGATAAAAAATATTCAATAAATAATGTGAAAGGGTAAGAAACTGCTCAAAAGAGAAAAAACAACTCAGGGAAAAGGAGAAAAGAAGGAAGAAAAAAGAATAAATAAATAAACACACACAATTTAGTAAGATGATTGTATAACTAATTCTATTAGTTCCTAGAACAAAATAGTTACCATTCATAGGATTAGATCAATTTTGCAGGTCTATTTTTGGTAATCTGAGTAACTCTTCTGAAGATAACTATGCAAAATAACAACCTTTGGTATGTTCCTACCGCCTTGTTTTGAAAGTCTGCATTGTTATTGTTTTAGGATATTATTATTATGTCTCTTTTGTTTTTCTTGCATTTTGCTTAGTTTTGTTTTTCCCTCTAGCACAGAAAGGATAGATGTACATGTATAGGCTTATACATGCCTAGAACTTCTCCTAAAGATTTTACAAAAGTTCACTTTATTACATGTTGGTATGAACAGCTACTTTGAAGAAAACGAGACCTTATGGTAGCCATTGCTGATTTCCTATCATCTTGTTTTGAACTCCAATAATGCTTTTATTCTTTGTTTTGATTGGTTTTAGTCTGTTTTATACTATTTGATTTCAATATGTGTGAATGCATACATAACTATTTTGAAGAAAACAAGAGACATTATGGCAGCTATTGCTGGTTTTCCTATTGTCTGGTTTTGCAGGCCCGTAATGCTTTCATTCTTTTGTTTTGATCGGTTTTCTACTATTTTGTTTTGTATTAACTTATTGTGTGTGAAGACAGAACAACTATCTTAAAGAAAACAAGAGACATTATGATAGCCACTGCTGATTTCCTGTTGTCATGTCTTGAAGTCCTGTGTTGCTTGCACTGTTTTGTTCTGATCTGCTTTGTTCTGTTTTGTTTTACTCTATTTAAAATTTAAAAATCCATCAGATAAATCTAACACATTTTGTTCACACATCCCTCCATACATGGACACATAGACTGCTTCCATCACTTGGCTAGTGTGAATCATAGTGCTAAGAATATAGGTGGGCGAGTACGTGTTCTGGTTTCTGTTTTCTTTCTTTTGAACATATACTCAGAACTGGTAGATCATGTGATAATCTATGTCTGTCTCTGTCTCCCTTCCACCACCCCTCATTAGAAAACAGAAAAGTGTTATCGGGTCACTTGAAAATGGGCTTCATTTTCTGTTGGGCAAGGCTACCTTTCTATACAGGGCTGTTATAATGGGAGTCACCTGTAGCTTTTGTCTTTAGAGACATATTTTACTAAGGACCAGAAACTCAGGCTAAGAAAGCTTTCAGTCTTGTCTTCCTGCCCTTGGGTAGTGAGGTTTGGGAAACAGTGACGCATCCCACAGATAAAGCTCCTACTATGCCTGGCACAGAGAGCTACTATGGGACCAATCACTCCTCTGTTCCCTTCTCCACAGCCTCTTCCCCAAGAAATAATGCCGTTGACAGCAGCAGGTTGTCCAGGGTCAATCTCTTCTCTGTGACTGCCAGTTTCCAGAACGTGCTAGGCTTTTCATCTTTCCAGGACGGTGAGTTTGACTGTCCCTGGCTGCTTGCCACATGATTCCATAGTGAAGTTGGCCCTCGCTTTCACAGGCTGGCCAACCATTCTGTTTGGAGGATGCTCAAAGGAGGAGTGCACCTCATGTCACTCTACAGGACTCTTGTGGATGACGAAACATCAGCATAGGACCCATGTCTTGCATTTCCTATTCCCTCTTGCCCCTGGACAATATTCTTAAAAATGGTCTAGGGGCTGGGGATTTAGCTCAGTGGCATAAGCACCTGCCTTGCAAGCAGGCAGTCGTGAGTTCAATCCCCGGTAGCGATAAAAAAGAAAAAGAAAAAAACAAACAAAAAGCTGGTCTAGATTTAATCCTCAAACCCTCAAAAAAAAATGAATGAAAAAGTTTAGCCTCAATTTGTAGGCCTTTCTGCCCTTCGGAGAGGGCTAGGGACTAAGGAATAGCTCTTCCCCTACTCCTCAGAAATGCCACTTGGGCTGGACTGGCTGGCTTCAGGGTAGGGCCTTTCCAGCTCAGATGATTTCACTGACAGAGTAGAAAGCATTCCTAGTTTGAGTCGTTTTAAGTAAAAGAGGAATGATGGGAGCGATAGCCACAGCCTCTAGCCTCCACCTGCCATGACCTCTCTCCAGGACAGGTCAGGCTGGCAATCAAATTCTAATCTCACATATATGCTAACTGAGGGCAGAAGAAGGAAAAGCCTAGAGCAAAGTATGGGTCAAGGAGGTCACGGGATCACTAGGAAGGGGTGCAGGTACCAGCAGGAGCAGGCAGTTCAGTTCTGGCCCCTTCCTTGAGTACCTCATTGGCCACCACTGGCACTTAATAAGGAGCAGAGGTGGGCAGGGTTCCTGTGCCCCACCTCCCGGTTTCTTTTCAAAAGGGCAAGCTCCATGTGGCACTGCTACTGGTGGATGCCTGCAGCAGGACAGGCTGGGCCAAGGCAGATTTTCAACTTTCTCTGCCCTTTGCAATTCGTAATTAATAGGCTCCAAGGAGGTGTTACTAGTCTTTTTTCTACACCTACACCTGACCACCTCCTAAAAAAACTCCCAAGAAACAGATATAAATTACAACACTGTACGTTTAACAGGCTGTCCCTTAGAGGGAGTTATTCACATAAAAAACAACTGTGGCTACTAAAAACAGCAGTTTAGTATCCTATCTCTATTATCCCAAGAGCCAGTATTGGTGCTCTAGTAGCAGCTATCCAAAGATTAAGATAAACCATCTGCCCAAGGCCCTTCCTTCAAATAGTCCTTGCCTTCCCAGTGCAAAGAGATTTTTCTTTCCTGTTTATAGTTACAATCCTAATACTATAAAAGGATTGTTGCAGTTCAATTAAGTTCAACTAATACATCTGAGTGCACTATGATTTAAAGTTAATTGTGGGGCTGGGTTACACAGCTCAGCAGTGCAGCACCTGCCTGGCAAGTCCAAGGTCCTGAGTTCAATTCCCAGTGCACAAAAAAATAAATAAATGAGTGCTAATTGTGTTATGTTTTCTGTATGTTTGCTTATCTGCCTGTTTACTTTGCATTAATAACTGGTTAGAGAACCTATGGCTGTTTCATTGAAGATTTTTCAAGATCATATCACTTTTATTTTTCCTTTTATTTTTGCCCTTTGTAAACTTGTGGTTCTTTTTGGGCTTTTCACTGAACACTGGTTACATAGGTTTTCAGGGTAACCAAACCCCCTAAAAACATGAGAGGGCTTAACACTTTCATAGGACTTACCAATAAAAGCTTTAAATTTTGATAACATTACATATATATATATGTATATATATATGATTTAGGTTAACATGTTTGTTTCTGCGTATTAACTTTCAGGTATGCATTATCCTCCAAAAGTTCTACTTAAATTGGCTTACAGATAAACAGATACTCAAAGTATTAGCCCAAATGTTTGTGGTTCATATAGCTTAATGGTAGGCTAATTTAAATCAGTTAATGAGGACAAAAATACCTTAAAATGTATTTTTAAAGTTGATGTTTCCATCCATGTTACCCAAAAGAAATAATATAAAAAATTGGTTTTATAAATCCAAAGTCTGTGTATATACTTAAGACATATATTGAAAAAGTACTGACTGTTACTGGTTTGGTTCTCATGACTCATCTAAAGCGATTGCTAAGGTACCTAAGTGGGCATCCCTGGGCTTGAGGAACTGCCAGACAAAACTCCTGAAAAAGCGGCTGAAAAGCGGCTGCCTGAATCAATGTGTTCACTTTTCTCCCCGATGAGAATTTTCCAGGTTTTTTTCCCCAGAGCCTTATGATGGTAAACCCCCAAAACATTAATAAATTAATATATTTAAATTGGCTACAATTAAAAGGTTAAGCTCGCTATGTCTAAAATAATAAGGTTTGCTTAAGATGAAGTGATACCTCAGTTCACAAACTTAATTTGTTCTCTAACTTCGGAAAAGATGGTCACATTTGCATTTGTGTTGGAAAGATGGCCGTTTGTCATCCATGCAGTTTGCAAAGAAAAACAAAATTTTGCCAAACTCTTCTGTTTGCAAGCCAAATTGTTTATAAACAAAAGCATTTGTGAGCCAAAGACTGCTGTAAGATGTTCTTGATTAAACTTATAAAACTAAATTTAAAAAGTAAAGGTGCTTTCCATGCTTAGGCTTTTGGATACTAAAAAGTAAGCTTTAAGAGTTAAAGAGTGGTTAAATATTAACCTATAAAATGCTTTCAATAATCATTCTATGATTGGATAAATGAATAGATATTATCTTAGATTATAACATAACCTGTATATTTAGGAATATATATGTATATACATATAAAAAAAGATATGGTATTAGTCTAAACTTTAAAATGAATTTTATACAGTTAAGACTACCTGTGTTTAAAAAGCAAGTAAACAAGATTTTTGACATTTCCTTAAATATGGTTCTGTTTATAGCTTGATCTACATCTATTGGCTTTGATTACATAAGTATTTTGTAATTATATAAAACAGATACATGTATATAGTGGGTAAAGGTCTACTATTTGTCATTAACACTGTTTCCTAACTTTTACAAGAGCTCTAAAGAGATCTTTATTTCTTGTCTGTATAGTTACACCCTGGAAAACCTGTTAAAGGAGTCTAAATTTTGCCTTAAGAATAAAAACCAAATACACGCAAAGATTTCTTTATAGTTCTGATGCTAAATATTGATAACCTCATGTTATTTAAATGCATCTGTTAAGTGTACAAGTCTTTAAAGAAATAAAACTGATTTTACTGGTGCCTTCCAGACTCAGTTGTTTACAATGATAAATCCTTTCACACTCAAGCATCTGGCTTTCCTTGTGTCCTAACTACTGGAGGTGAAACGTGCATTCCAATCCAGTATGATAAAGCCAGCCGGATGATGCAGAAGCCTCTTCAGACTCACACTCATGTAATTATCATGAAATTGTCTTATAAAAATGAGAGATACCTAAACACTATATGGTTCATGCAATGTCACTCTAAAGATCAGACATTTATTAATGTACTATAAAGTACTATAAAGTACCTCTACAAACAAGTACACTCTACTTAAATGGTACCCTATTAAAAGATACAGTAATAAATTTATGTCATTTAATATTTTGTAATTAGATAAATGTAACTGACTAAAAAGTTATTTTATACTAAAATGGAAGTTTAAATGTATTTCAGAGATAACAAAAACCTAGTTACTCTCACATATTGATGATGTCATGATTATCTTGGTAAAATGCTATGTCATGATTATCATGCTCAAATGTTATGCTGACTTTGATCTTAAGTTTTCCCTTTCAGACTTTCTAATTACTATTTGTTAACATTATACAGGAATTCAACTTCTAAAACAATTATTATTGGTAAAAAAAAAAAAAAACATTCTCTGGTCATACTTTATACTTCAAGGTGCTTGATAACCAGATAAGATTATGATGGTTAAATCTACTGTTCCCATATCAATACTGTATAACTGATCTCCTGGATGTTCAACAGCCAAGGCATGAAAACAAAAACAACAACAAAACTAAGGAATGGAAATCAAAGTGAAATAGAGGATAGCCAATATTTTTGAGCTGGCCCTGTAAGGTCAATAAAGACCAAGAACATGAGGGGTCCTCTCCATAGAAGCCTAAAACTCTGGTAAGTTACCCAAACTCCTGAGCCAAGAGACTGCTGGGCCATAGAGGACAGAAGTCAACCAATGAACAGTGTGCTCAAAAGGAGGGTCATCAAAGAGGGAAACATCTCCCACGCTTCCACAGAAGGTCACACAGTCATCTAAGATCATGACTCATGCTGGCAGCTGACACTGACACAGGAGCTAAGAGGCTATATAAATGGCCCCAAAGGTAACCCCTGAGAAGCCTTAACTGACCATGATACACATGGCAAGAGGAAAATTTTTATTAACATAGGTCTCACTTTAACTTGGTCTGAAACACCTAGCAGAAATATATGATCTACAAGATAAATGAAAGAATAATAGTAATATAGACTAGTTGTAGAAAGAGGGCTGTAATCACTACACTGACCTCTGCTAAAAGTTTCCAGCTACACCTGTAGTTTATCACTATTAATGGTTCAGTGAGGTCAAAAAGCCACAGTGGCAGCTATACAAGCTGAGCAAGTCTTTAAATTCCTTAACTAGAATAGTCCTTCGGTACCACAGAGTCTTGATCTCCTCACAGCCAACACCAGAGGAGCTTATATGCTCAGAAATAAAACCTGTTATGTTTAGATATATAATCAATACGAGGAATAAGAATAAACAATAAAAGAAATATCACACTTGGAGAAAACCTCCATGAACAGGTAGGTCTGGGACTTCAATCCCTTAAAAACAGTATCCAGACTTGGCTCCTTTCCCACAATCTGTCTTTTGACACTGGACCTTCAGTTTAGACCATGCATCCTTAATCTCTTGGCAAAATTTGTTTATTCTCCCCTAGAGGCTGTCAAATTCCAAATGATCATCCAGATGGAACAGATGAAAAATGTGCCTGACTCTT